AAACAGGGTATGAGCTGGAGATGTCTCTGCCTTGGTCCTTTCACTATTGGCTGCCACTTCCTGGCGGATGTCAGGTGGAGCCTCTTGATGTGGAAGCCTTTTCTAAGGGTGGCGATGGGAGCCCGGAAGTGGCAGTTGCAGTCTCAGTCCTTCCAGGCTCCGCCTCTACACCCTCAGAATGGCGCCCCCGGCCGGCGACGGGCTTCCTGCCGCGCGGTGCATTGTGGGACGGGAGAGGTCCTTGGAGAGCGGCGGCGGCGATGATGGCGGAGAGCGAGGAGCCGTAAGTCGCTTGGCGGGCGCTGCTGCCGCCGTTGTCGTCGCTCTCGGTTGCGGGCGGGGTGCGGGTGGGGCTCCCCCTCCGCCTGCGTTGGCCGGAGCGGGAGCCGGGGACTGACCCTTCTTTTATTCTCTCTCCCCTTATTATTATAGGGAGAAGAAAAGAAGGAGGCTAGAGGAGCGGCGGCGGCAGAGAGAGATGGGGTCAGTGCGGGCACAGGGAAGGGAAGCAAGGAAGGAAGGAAGGAAGGGAAAGGGGCTGGGCCAACTTGGGCCCTCCAGGTGTTTTGGGCTTCAACTCCCACCATTCCTAGCTGCCTCAGGCCCTTTTCTTTTCCCTCTCAGCCGCTTAAGCGGCTGAGAGGGAAAAGGAAGGGGCCTGAGGCAGCTAGGAATGGTGGGAGTTGAAGTCCCAAACACCTGGAGGGCCCAAGTTGCCCCATGCCTAAGACTAATCAAGGCTACACACACACACCCCCTGTGTGATAACTGCACTAAAAGATTCATACTTTAAAACAAATTACAGAAAAAAACAAAGGCCACCACACAATAAACTAGTCAGCTATAGTTTCCCAGGTTCTAGATCAAACCTGGGCAAACTTCAGCCCTCCGGGTGTTTTGGACTTCAATTCCCACAATTCCTAATTGTCTCAGGCCTCTTCTTTCCCCCCCTTAGAATCATAGAGTTATTTATTTATTTATTTATTTGCTTTACAGGCATGT